AATGATTTTAGTGATATTGCTTTATTGCTTTATACTTATTTAAAGAACACTGAATCTTGAGTCAAAAGGTTTATTTTTTTCAAACATCATACCCCGTAATATGATTTTTTGAGACCTTGTTCAAGAGACAATCTGAATTTGTAGAAAATATTTATAGAGCATTGCTGTGATACGGATGTTCCCTAAATATTCATGTATTGGGACTAAGTTATATACTAAAGGCGTTAAGTGAAGATTTAATTCCTCATGGTGTCCTAGGATAAGGTTTTTGGGTGTGATAAGATCATTAGGGCAGGACCCCATGATTGAGTTCTGGTGTGTATGTGAGAAGAAGAAATGAGGCAGTCAGAGCCCACATGGGTAGAGATCAGTACAAGCAGTAACATAGGTAAAAATAATGACTCAATTTTTCTGTTCAGAATCTAGTATTTCTAACTCAACTACAGATTATCTTCTTTTGGTATAAAAAAAAATCTATACTAGAGTAAAGGAAATAGAATCAGTAAACCAGGCAGTGATATTAAATACTATTCCTTTGTTATGATATTATCTATTGACATTTTCTATTTGCACTTTTATTTTGACAGCTTCACATTCCATTTCACATCTGTATACCTCTAGTCTGAATTATTACAATATTATCTACAATGAAACAACTGTTTTCTGACTAAACAGAAAATATGTAGATGATTATAAAGATGTAAGGAGATGGATGAAAAGAAAATGAGAAAGAAAAAGAAGAAAAAATAATATTTACAGTAATGTTAATAGAAAATTTTCCAAGCCTAAGGGTACTGAACTGCATCAAACCTCAGTGTCTAGCCAGTCACAGCAGCACAATAGTGATGCACTGCTCTGAAATACTGATGCTACCTGGGAGGTCCCAGGTTTTCATTCTGAGGTTTCCTTGTACATGCCAGTTGCATGCATGCAACCCATAACACTGGCTAGCTGAGGCTAGGATGGATTATTGCATGAAGACCCTGTTGGGAGAGCTTATTGTTCTCTCTCTCTTTCTTTCTGAATAAATTAATGAATAAACATGTACAAAAAAAGAAAAAAAAAACCCCACAGATTTTAAAAGCACGTTGAATCCCAGATAGGATTAACAAAAATCACAAGTATACCTACCTTAATAGCACTGCTTGATACCAAAGACAAGGTAAAAATCCTAAAACAAATAACAGGCGTGGAGTCAATTCAAGTGCCCAAGATCAGATGACTGGACTGGAAAAATATGGTGCATGTACACTAATGAATATTACTCCGCCATAACACATAATGAGATCCTGCCATTTGATACAAAGTACATGAACATAAAAGATTTAATACTAAGCGAAGTAAGCTGGACTATGGAAGACAAGCATTGTATGTTCCTGCTCAATATCTACTAAATGTTTGCACTCTATGACAGAAATTGAAAGGCCCAAAAACATAATGGTAAGGAAGACAAGTATGGATACCAGATACTTATAGGGGAGGAGAGTGGATAGCAAGAGTGGGTGGGAGGGGCTAAAGGAGGAAGTACTTGACAGAAGAATGTTAAGTTCTCCAAAGAAAAAGGTGTATATAGTAATATCTTTGATTTGATGGTAATGTAATACATGTTTTTGAAAAACCATATGGCATGCTATGGAGATGTTCAACATTAAAATGTGAAGAAGAAATTTTAAAAATAATAAAAATTAAATAAAAATGAAAGAATGAGAAAAGATACATTACTATTGAAGAAGGTATAAGATCAGCAGCTAATTATGCAAAAATGAAGAGGCAAAAACCAAAAGGAATTACACTGCCAAAAGAAAATAACCACCAACTTAGAATTCTATATCTAGTTAACATGTCCTTCAAAAGCTCAGTTAAAAACATTTGCACACTAAAAAAGTAGGAGATTCCTTGCCAGTAGACCCACACAAAAGAATAAAGGGAGCTTTTCAAGAAGGAAAATGAGCTCAATGGTAAGTAAATAAAGGAAGACTTGAAAAGCAATAGGGAATGCATTTGAATCTAAATAAATATCCACTATACAGAACAATAGTAATAAAATCTTATGGGATTTAAATAACAGAAAGAATTAAAAATAAAAACATAAAAATAAGAGCATGAATGTTCAAAAGAGGTACTCATGCAAAAAATATTAATATTTTAATAACCAAAAATAGTAAAACAAACAAATCTCTGACAAAAAAAATAGAAAACAAAATTATTCTGAGGCCACAACATAGCAGAGACGAAATGAATATGCTACAGCTATATACATCAGCATAAATAAATCATAGAAGCATAAGTTTGGCTGAAAAAAACTCAAGATACAGATGAATGTATACAGTATATCATTTTTATAAAAAGTAAAAAACTGGACAATATACTGTTCAAGAGTGTATACTGTATACAGTAGAAACATTGAAAAAGAAAAGCAAGGGAAAGATCAAGATAAATTTGGGGAATGTTTACCACAGTGAGGAAGATAGGATCATGAGCTAGATGAGAGAACAAAGGCAACTTTAGCGATATTAGAAATGTTCTGATTCCTAAATTGGGTAATAAGTTCGCAAGTGTTCATTCTATTATCTGGTTTCCTAATATACATATGTGACTTACTTTTTTTTATATGTACCAATTTTACTTTGTATGGTGAAAATAAATATTTATTAAAGGAAAAAAGTGAATTTTGGAAAACATTTCAAAGCTCAGATTTGCAAACATTTCACATGTCTCTCTCTTTTTTTAAGAGGATTTTGCCATAGGGTGTGTGTGCTTGCCAGAGAGAGATAGACAGACAATGAAAGGGAAAGTGAGAAATCACCCCCTGGGGAGATGACCATATACAATCCCTACTCCTCCATTTTTTCTCCTGGGATTTTGGGCATATATACACTCATGCCTGGCATGATTTTCAAGTCACCAGGTACAGGTTCACGACTCGAACCACAGTCAACCATGTGGGAGTCCAGCATCATGACCACTATGCCATCTGCTAGGCCCAACACTTGCCATTCTAAATGGTTATACTTTTAAAAAGAATGACACTATTTGTATCAATATTACTTCAAAATATTTGCATGTTTGGACTATATACATTATATTCTCCCAAGATAAAAACAAGTGACAGTTTCAAACTTATCATTTCATAAAAATTTCTAAATCTGTTTTAAGAATGAATTTGTGTTAAGAATGGTCAAAGAAGAGGCTATGTTTATTTGCTTTACTCATTATAAGATTTTATTTTGTAAATGCACAAAATTTTGATTCATAGACACTAGATCCTCAATATTTTTAAGTAGATTGAACACACAAAAATTGAAGGCAAAGCGGACCAGGTAAAACAGCTTCTTAGTTGTCAAGAAGCAAGATAAAACAAAAAGAAAAAAATAATAATTGACAAATGCAGACATAAAAATAAACATAAAAGTCAAAAAATGAAAATCAAAGTGAAGATAAATATAAAAAGAGGAGTTAAAATAGCAATGCTGAAAGTTTCACCAGAAAAGCTGTATCCCTTTAGAATCTTAGAGCAAGTTGTTTGGAAGTTTATTTAAATAAGAGCTGAAGTTTATTCTGGTCAATGGATCGTTCTAGTGCTATGATTCTACTTACTGCTGATCAAAATCATTGATTAATTTTTTAATGTGTGCCAGTTTCTTATAAAGATATAGGCACCTAGATTTTTCTGCATAATAGTTAGGATTAGTTTGTTTTATCTTCTGATATTCCAGTGAGATTTTTTCATTAATATCCTGATACTCTTTTGATTCTGGAGAAAGTTGCTTCCGTTTTGAATCTAGGTTAATGAATACGCTAAATAAATTCAGAATCTTTGTATTCAAGGCCCAATACTCAGCATAATCTCCTATAAATTCCTGCTCATAACCCTGACTTTGCTCAGAGGAAACTATAGTGCAATAGTCAGTCAGATAATCTGGGAGTTCAGATGTTGAACAGGTCTCAGAGGTGGTATGAGCCTTTTTAACGCTTTTGCTGCAGCGTGGCTTTGCACATTTATCTTGTCTCTTAGGGTCTGTCTTGTGCTTCTTCATCATCTCAAAATTGTACACTTGGCTTTTTGCTTTTTCTTTTGTAAATTTATATATTAGCTTCTTGCCAGACACCAAATGTTTTGTTTCCATGAGCTTTGGGTGTTTTATTTGAATTGAAATGGAGGCTAACCTTTCCAAAGAAGTATGTTTACTTTGCCAGTTCTCAAAGATGCTACTGTTTTGATTACAACTGTCAACACATGTATCTTGAGTCTCAGGTCTTTCTTCAGTGCTACAAGAGTGGCAGTTGGAATTTAGAGGCAGAGAATGATTTGAAGTGGCACAGTGGCTTGCAGATAGTGGAGGAGGCCTGAGATTGATATTAGTTGCAGAGGTTGTTAGACGACTTGCAGAAGATTCTTCACTGTTATTACTCAAACAACCAGTTGATATTGGCTGTACTCGAGTTGTCAGATGAGATATTCTAACTTTTCTTTTCCTTAAGGAATCATTAAGGCCTGAATTGAAAAACTGTTTCTGAGAAGATGGTGGCTCATCTACACTAGAATCTCTAGATTTTGGATAATTAGTACCAGTATCATTCTGAGATGGATCATTTTTTCTAGAAAGCACCAACTCCAATGTCTGCCTGTCTATTTCATTGTATCCAGGCCAATCACTTTTGACCTCTTTAAAAACACAATCTTTCAAGGTGTATAAAAAATTCTCAGTATTCAGAATGGCTACCTGCTGCAGAATTTCATCCAGAGAGTTCTTATCTTTTTGGGGCCCATTAATCTTTTTGGGGGATGCCATCTTTCTGCAGTCGGACAAGCAGCTCATGTTTCTTGTAGTCTTTCAATGCTAGTAAGTGGATCACTCTGTCCCGATATGGCTTTGTTTGGACACTGTTGGAAACCCTTGACTTTCGAACTGTATAGGCAAGATTAATGGGAGCTGTTTTTTTCCGCTCAGGCACTAGATCTGTGATGACTTGAGATGGTTTCCTAGTTAGCACTCTTTTTAGGGTTTTTTAAATTTTTGCCACTTATTGAAGGATTCCTTTTCAGTCTGAGCTGTTCTTATTTGTGTCATCTGATAAGAGCTGTTGCTTCTATACATGGTCTTTTCATCTTGTAACAACTGTAGGCAACTGAATTGTGAGAGACCACAGGTTGAAATATTTTGTTCGATATGGTCAACTCTGTCTTGCTGGTTGTATATACTCACATCTGACAACTGAAAGTTAAAGTTGTGTACATTCATGCATGGATTGTTTGGGGGGATTTCTATAAGCTCATGGTGTCCTTGGAACTGATGAGAAGCTTGAGGAGGTACTACACCTTTGTGGTTCTGGTAAGAGTCAATCACCTGGATGACTGAGCTGGTAAGTCTCCTGGGTAGCACAGTTGCATTGTACTGCCCTGGCTCTATGCTACGTGCCTCTTCCTTTACCACCTTTCCTTCCTGATATACTATTTCCCCCGTCACTCTGCCTCCAGAGGTTGTGAAACAGTTATATCTGTAAAGATCAAAGGTTAAACAGTAAAATATTTTAGAAAATAATGATTCTCCTTTGCAAGAATTGTTTCTTACTACTATTGTTCATAAAAGTGTAATTTTAAAAGAGTTTGCCTCAATAGGACAAAGAAAAGAAGCAAATGGTTGAGAGAAAACTTGGAGAGGTAAAGATAGTTGTAAGGATATAATCACTTTCCTGTCATGTTTTTAAGCTTCTCTCTAGGAGAAACTAATAACTCAATCTGGAAAGTACTAAAATATTTTCTCAGTTCAGTGTACAAAAGTCATATTTTCTCAATAAAGTAAAATCAAGTCAAGTCACTTGGGTGTGGGAACACTAACAGGAATCACAAACTTTTGGAAACTGGAGAAGGCTTCCCCATGACATCATAAGCATTCAGTACTTAGATTTACTCCAATATGCAAGTGGGTCCTTCTTAGGGTTGAAGCCTGGTCTGTCCATAAAGGCTTTCCTTTGGCAGCTAAACGCATTATTTGGATTAGCAATAGGTTTAAAAAATAAGCATTTTTAAGATACTTATTTATCTTTCTAAATTTTCTAACCATCACCAATAAGTGGAAACCATTTTCATCTTCTTAGCTTGCCACTTATGTCGATTTTTCTGCTTCTTTCTGTTGCTCCTCCAGAGAGTTCCTAGCAGATCACAGGTTTGCACACATGCTTAAGTGTAACATTACCCATGCTGAAAGAAATACCGAGGCTAAGCAGATTAGAGGTATGAAATTTAGCCATAGAATGTACACAGATTACTGGGAAACAGCTACAATCAGCTTGATCCCCCAAAATAAGTAGACACAATTATCCCTCCTTAGTCTCGTCCTTCACCCAGCCTACCTTATGCTCAGAATTCCCTACTTAACTCATGGCATCACTTTCCGCCTAATCACACAACTAGAAACTGCATCATCCCTACTATTCACGCAAACATACTCCTCAGTAATTTCTCTTGAACACATCTAGTCAGCCACTACACTTTCCATTCATCCAATAAATAGTTGAACACCTATCACATATTTGGCAGGTTCCTGAACACAGAAACAAATGAACAAAAAGTTCTGCTCTCATAATGGATGTATTCTGGTAAGACTTTTCTGCACAGCACCTCAAATCCACCCCTTCCTCTACCATCCAGGAAGACTGGGCAAAATTAGACTGTCTTAGCCTGTGTTATGTACTCTCCTCCAAGCTTGATTGCTTGCCTCCAGTCCTTTCCTGCCACAAATCATCTTCCGAATTGCCAAAAGTGATTCCAATCAACTTTGCTTTAAAACAAGTTAGGGTTCTCCTTTCTAAAGAAGTAAATAAAATTCTCTAGTGTGGCCTACAAGACCTTCCTTATTTAGTTCCTGACTTACCCTAAAGCCTCTGTCATGTATCTAAAAGCTACATTGATTTGTTCCCTTTTCTCTAAATATGCTCCCATGCTTGTTTTCACATTTGCCTTTTACTTGACATTCATTCTGCCCACTAATGCTCTTCTCACTTATCTTTGCTTGCATTGTGCCTTTACTTTATTTAGAGGTCCCTTCACGAATATTCTGTCAAACATAATGTCCTATATGCACTCCCCCTCCAGCATTATCTATAATCTTGTTTTACTTTTTCTCAAAGTAAACTCACTACCTGAAATTATATTACACATATTACATTGTTTAGTGTAAATTACCTCCACTGGAATATGAGCTTATGAGGACTTTAATTCTGTCAGTCATTTGCATTGTTGTAACTCCAGTGGCTAGAACAGTACCTGGCACACATAGTAAGCACTCAGTAGATATTTTGGGGAAAATGAATATATCAGTGCTGTCTATTTTAAATATCACTCATAATGAGTTCAGTCTATTAAATTTCTTCTTAACCTTATAAATGCATCTCAAATGTCACTTCATATATAAGATCCCCCTCTATTCAAAACTAATACTTCACCTCACTATAATCTAAAATAAAGCTCTTTGTACAAATTCTATGAAAAACATGACATAAAGCATTATGGTTACTTATGTGTTGTCTCCTCCACTAGACTATGACCTCTATACCCATGATAGCTATACTCTATTCAAATTTATATGATCCTTCTTTTTTTTGGGGGGGGGGAGAGGTTTTCGCTATAGGGCGCGTGCGCTCACCAGACAGACAGAGACATAGAGACAGAAAGCGAGAAATCACCCCCCAAGGGGGATGGTCACGCCGCAATCTCTTCTCCTCCATTCTCCTCTTGGGATCTTGGGCATGCACGCATACGCGCCCGTTTTTTGTTTAACGCCACGGGGTCCGAGACGCAACCCGCGGTCGACTACGTGGGAGTCCAGCGACATAGCCATTACGCTAACTGCTGGTTCCCAAGCCTTCTTTTTTTTTTAACCTAATAACTCACTGTAGGAGTATCAGGTGCATAGCAGAAACCATTCTCTAAATGCTTTTCAAAAGAATGAAAAATACTACCTATGTATTTCTCCTGGCAAATATATATTCATGTCACATCAAGGGGTTATACTATATTGTTTGGCAATGTCAGAGAGATGTTCCATTCCTCTTTAAGACTTTTTTTCATGTTATTGTTAAATTCACAGTATATTTGTATAAAAAAAGAGTGAAATCACTGATGCAGAGAGAATGTAAAAATCTTTCCTCAAAAAAACAATGAACCACTGAAGTATGTTCAGAAATATAATGTCTTAATACATACACAAAGGCTGTGTTTGATTCTTCTTGTAGATCTCTAGTAGACACAGGAAAAAGTGAACTATCCTTGAGCACCTTTATCTCTACAATCTCTGGGATAATAAACTATTTCTAGAATTGTCCTATTCCCTGTGTAAATAACAACAAACTATATGCATTGGCAAGAGCAAAACATTAGTACCTCATGATAAAAACATGCAAAGTGATATTGATTACCATAAATGAAAATGTAAAAATTTGAAAAAAAATATTTAATGATCTCTGGGAATGAAACTAAATATTGTAATGACTTTTTTTTTTAATATTGTAAGGATTTAGAATATTTCTAAATTATCACATACATTTAATATAATTACAATAAAAACTTAAGTATTTTCATGATTTTTCTTAGATTCTATCAAAAGTTCTCTCATCTTCAATTGTTAAAAGAACTAAAATAATTTCAGAAAGGATGCTAACCACAGGATGCCTCCCTACCTGGAATTATAAAATAAAGCTATAATAATTAACAGAATGAGAAACTAACATAAGAAGACAAAATAAATGAAAGTGTACATATATCTGAGATACAGAGTCCAATAATTTAATAGATACTAAAACCCCATAACGGTCAATGCAGAAGAGTTAAATCATTACATGAATACTGCTTAAGACAAGTTGTCAATATTTTAGCAAAGATATCAAATTAGAATTTTCAACTGTAATGTATTACCAAATTAATTACAGACACATCAAAAACATAAATATAAAATGTACAACTGTGATGTAACTAGTACTGCCAAAAAGTTATTTGTTTTCATGGTTCTTAATTTAAAAAATTAATTGATCAGGCCAGTAGATGACATGGTCATTCAGTCTCTGGTTCCCACAAGACCAACTGTGGCCCTGGCAGCTTGAAGAACATGCCAGGTGAATGTGCATGCATGCCCAAAACCCAAGAGGAGAATGGAGAAGAAGGGACTGCAGCATGGCCATCCCCACTGTGGGGTGCTTTCTTTCTCCACATCACCTCCTACCCCTCTGCCTCTCTCTAGTGAGCCCATGCCCCCTATAGCAAAAATTTAAAAGAATAAATTTTATATTGAGAAGAAAAATAGAGAGGCAAAGCATTAATGGTATAAAGAAATGTGGTATTATCTGTTGAAAATAACTTTATAGTTTTATCAACTGGACTAGGGAGAAATGTTCACATGTTGAAATAGTCACTTTGTATGCTAAATAACATATAAAATAAAATAAAATGATATAATATATTAAAAAATTGAAATAAGAAAGGAAAAAATTATAAAATTAAAAAATAAATTAATAAAGTTAATTGATCAAATGTAATTATGGAATACCATCCTATCTGATGAAGGTGATCACAATAATAACTTATTAAAGCAAAATAACACATATGTGAAACTGAAATTCTCTTCTAAGTGGTCTAGCTTGCCATGTTATTACTACTACAAACTAAAAATTTAGTTTATATGGCACTGTGTGATTAGATAAGAATAACAAGTAAAATGAGTACATAACTAATGTGTTTTGAATAGTCATTGGACAATTGTTGACCCATTTTGGCCAGCCATTCACAGGTCTACCTAGATTTTCAGCTAATGTTAAAATATGATAAAGTGTTACTAATCTATCACACTTAAACAAAGATACTAATTCCCAAGTTTGATAATTTTTCAAAACCTTCTTTGACCACTGTGGTCACTCCACATACTCTTTTGAGACTACCAAACTCCAAACTCAGCAAGCCTATGTGAGACAATAGAAAGCATGGATAGTCAAGCATAATCATTTATCCCAGGTATATTAAATATCACTGGTATCCATTCTATATCTTATTTCCTGGTCTTATAGTCAAAGTAGGAATAAACCACTTAAACTCAGTTCCAGTCATTCTTGCTAATTCTCAAACCTGTTGAGGTTTAGTCTAGTTCAGAACAATTTCTTACCTATCCATTGTTCTTGGTCATTATCCAGATTTTGAGATCTAAGAGAGCTTTACCCTCGTTCCTACGTGTCTTCACAGTGATCTGAATTTCCTTCACTGTGAAACCATGCACATACCTGCCCTTCTAGAAGTCTGACATCACAATTACCAATATCCTCAACATTCCTCACCCCCTCACTTAAAGTGAAACTCAACTTTCCCAAAGAATGCTACTTTGCTACAGCTCTCAAAATGAGCTAACTTATTTTCTCAGACTTTGTACTTCAGAGTTTCTGCCTTGGTCTGTTCATGCTACTATATCAAACTACCATAAACTAGGTGACTTATAAGCAACAACATTTATTTCTCACATTTCCAGAGGTTGGGAATACAAATCAAGGATCCTGTATCACTTTAAAAGTTAGAATAACTTTTATCATCAAACAAATTTGAGGGAGGAGGGCCATAAACATCTCCACCACAGCAATCAGAAAGAAAGAACACTTTGTATTTTGCTTTGAAGTAAATGAAGAATTAATTCTTCATTCATTTATAAAGTTATGTCCTCATCTGAGGCACAAATCATTTGTTATATTAGCCTATGCCCTAATACCCTTAGCCCTCATTTACTCTCTATGACTAATCTCACAACACTTTTCCCTGAGCTCTATAACTTCTGACCATATTATCCTTTACTTGATATCTAAAATGTACCACTCTTATATTTGCCTTAAAGACTTTGTATATGCTGATCTCACTCTAGTGATATTAAGAAAGTTAAAGGAGAGCTTAACTGTCATGGTTTAGAGTAAGACACAGGAGACATTATCTCAAGAAAAAAATAGAAAAGTTTATTGAGATACAGAGTGCTTAGGGGTCTGAAGCCAGAGGTTCCTCAGCCCACCCACCAGGAAGGAGAGGGTTCATTTTAGAGTGTTATCAAGCTAATCTGGGAGACTGTACATGCAACTGATATGTTGGGAAGTTAGGTACAGTGGAAAAAGCATACATGAAACGTTTGGTGGGTTTTTTTGACCCATCTTTACAGAGTCAGACCTCCCAGTACTCACTCTGAGTCTTTATCTGCTACTTCCTGGGTCAGTGTGACCGTGCAGTAGCAGTACCTGAAGTGTGAGTTCTTGCTAAAACCAATTATGCAGAAGTTCAGCCTTCATTCCTCTTCATTCCTCATCAGACTTGGAGGATACCTAATGGTCCTCAGGAGAGTTTTACTGTGTGGGACCTTACATTAACCAAGAGGTTATTTTCAAAGATGTAGGCACATTTTAGAGAAACTACAGGAAACACTGAAGTACTCTAGGACAAGAAACAGCCATAAGCCAGGTGATAAAGAGGTAGGGAACTGTGTAGAAAGAATGGGATTGAGAAGTAAAGTGACAGTCAAGAGATGAAAACTGCCTGATTGCAAAGTGAAGGGACAGATAGTTAAGAGATAAAACAGCCCAACATAATTCAGAGAAGGAACTGAATGACTAAATAGATTATACTTCATTTTCTTACCATTCTCTGATGCTGAAGTCTCCCTATTGGCCAAACTCAATCAAAAGTTATAGAATATTGAATATTCCACATAAGTCAGCTTCGTATAACAGAAAACAGATTTTCATTAATACGTTTGAATAAATCAGCTTCCACATTAAACATCATTGTGGCATTTTGTTTTTATTTTATTTTTAGAGGACTAAGTTTATACTTAATTCTTTCAGTAATAATCTTTTCCCTTGGATTCTACATTCCTGAAAAGTGTAACATATGACTTTTATATATCTTATAATATATATACTAATGTAATTCACAAGTACAATTTTGTGGTAACTTTTACATTTCTTTTGGTACATATATGCCAGTAGTCAATGAAAGAGTCCCCCATAGTAATGTAGAGCATAACAATGCTATTTCCACTTAATAGTTAAGAACACAGATTTGGATATATTATACTCAGACTTCTAGCCCATGATTCTATGTATCTATATGTATTGATTACAGATAAACCTAATTCTTCAGATGATTTAACAATGGTTGTTGATTTTTTGATTCAGAATTTCATAGCCTTAGGGGATAATTCCTTCCACATACACAAGTTTGTTTTCACAAATCTTTCATAATAATCTGCAGCAATCTTTTGACCTGTTACCCTGAGAATACAATGAGACAGAATATAAATCCTTAAAAGTGATCGGAAATGCCCTCATTTCAAACCAATATGTGAAGCATGGTTAATTTAGTATATACCTTTTGTGGAAACATGAAAACTCCTGTTCCCTCTTTCATTTCTTCCTAAAATATCCTATTTCTAATGTTGTTGTCCTTGCTTTCTCCAAAGTCATATTGTAACTTGTTTTCTGCCTGACTAAATAGATAATAAGAAAAGTTATCAAAACTAAATTGTCCTCAGAAACATAAGAGAGTAGGTATTCTCCTGTTTTCTGATTGGTCTCCTCAGCAATGATGGCCATTTAACTTTTTATATCTTTTTTAATAGTCTTACTTTCCACTTAGAAAAGAATATTCTAAATAGAAATTTTTTACAAAGCAATGTTTATTTTAAAACTGTATACTTGCTAAGTGAAATGCCATTCAACTTGAGCTTTGCACTATCATATAATAATGGTACATGTAATAATGGGCTTCCCTGACCCATTGTCAGATGACATTTTGGGCACCTGTAAGAACTCATTGGCCTGTCTGGTAAAGACCAGCATGCTTTGGTCAATTGAATATTTACTGGATCAATGCAGTAATAATATGTTCTATCATTGTTTTTAGCAGCCAAGAGAGCATATTGGAAAAAGACAATATTCTAAAGAGTGATTCAACTTCATTAGCATAACCTTTGAATTTAATCTGTGTTTGACTTTAAGGTTATAGTCACTTCAATATCAATATCATTGTATTTTCTTACAGAGCATGTTATGAGCTTTCATACAGTTCCAAAAAAAAAAAACAAAAGGAGGCCAGACAGTGTCATGGTGGTAGAATACAATACTCTGAGGGCAATACCACATGAGAAGGATTCTGGTTCAAGTCTGAAGACCCCTGTGAGTATACAAGGCACATGTGTGTCCATGATTCAGGACTGGCTGAAGACTGGGGACTCATTGCAGATTCAAGACACTGTTGCAGGCTCTGTCTCTTTCTTTTCTCTCTCTCTCTTGCACACTCATGGAAGAAATAAATAAACAAACTTAAACAAAGCCAAGAGCTAGACAGTGGTGCAATGGTAACACAACACTATGTGAGGCTGACCAATATGAGAAGGCTTCCAGTTTATACCAGGAGACCTCCATGAATATGCTGGGTACACAAATGCTCACAATATATGGCTGGCTAAGGCTGGGGTGGACCATGGTGTGAGAACCTGGTTGAGGGTGCTTATCACCCTGTCTCATTCATGCTTGATCACTCATGGAAGAAATAAACAAACAAACAGAAGACTATATAGAATAATGCTTGTGTTTTGTTTCTGTGATTTTGTGCTTGCCAGAGAAAGACAGTGTGAGAGAGAGAGAAAAAAAAAAAAAAAACATGATCATATCATAATCCATCTACCAGTTTTCCATCCTACCAGGATTTGGGGTATGCATGCACACATGATCAGTGTGTTTTTCAAGGTACTGGGGCTGGGATTACAACTGAACAGTTGGCCTTGTGGGATCTAACTCCCTTAATCACTAAGCTATGGGGCTGGCTCAAAAAACTCAAAAAAATTCTTCTATTATTTTTATCTTCTCCCTTTTTATTAATGTTTTGAATTTGAGATTATATATTTACCAGGCTAGCAGAAAAATGAACAAGGGAAAAGATATTCAAATAATTTTAAGAGGGTAGCCATATGTTTCAAATTACTGTTAACTTGATATTTTCATCTTTTGAATTGATCACTCATTTTGATGGCATTTTAGACTGTTAGTTGGAGTCAACATATTGTATAGAATGCTGTATAAACACTCAGCTCAAAAGATAAGAATGTCTATTACTCCATAAATTGGAGCATACAATTTTGACCAAGATAATTATTAAATTTTGGAATATTATGTCTTATCTCCTAGTTTGGTTAAATCTGTAGATGAGTATCACAACACAAATTTCTTTTTTTCTATATTTTCACAAAGACTAGAAAAAACATGCTAATCTCACCCATTTTACAGCTATAGAAATTAAGGCCCAGAAAAGAGAAGTACCCTATGTTATGTTACTTTCCAGATCTTGATCTTGGGTTATCCTATTCCTTACCCAGTGCTTTTTTCACTACACAAAACCTGTTTTCAAGGTATGAATGAAATCTGATAACCCAGTAGATAGGAAAAGACTAAAGCCATAGACATAGAATAAGAAGCTCCAAATTGTTTAGATTACAGTGTTCAGCATGGAAGGAAATAATTTCAGCCAATTATCCCACCTCCTCATTCCACATCTAAAGCTCAAAGTAGCCATGAACAAAATGATCACTCTGTTTCCCAGTGGCCTGTTTGTATATATACATGAGTAAGGATTTGTGGTAATATTGACTTTGCTACTTGTGGGGACATCATTAAAAATCACAAAACATTGGATCAACCAAACATTTATATAATATCTAATTCTGCCAGTATAAGGACATGGTAATAATTGTTTAGAAATAAGCTAAATTGGGGCCAGTGGGTGGCGTGGTGATTAATGCAATGGAATCCCACATGGGATTGTGGAATCCCACATGGAATCCCACATGGCTGATTGTGGTTTGAGTCCTTGATCCAGCAGCTTGAAGATCATGCTGTGCAGGTGTGCCCAAAATCTCAATAGAAGAGTAGAAGAGAAGGGATTGTGGCATGGCTGTCCCCTCTGGGGAATGATTTTTTCATTTTCCCTCTCTCTGTCTCTCTCTCTGGTGAGCACACACACCCTATGACAAAAACCTAAAAAGAATAAAATAAAAACAAAAAAAACTGGATTCATAAAAAATTAGGCCTAAAAATGTCTCTAAATAATACAACTTTTAAAAATTCATCTCTTATCTTTAATGACATGTTATTTGGGGAAGAAAATCTCAAACATTTTTCCACTACTAACAATTTCCATAATCTAAACAAATTAGAAGTAAATTGCTTAGAAAACACAGG